AAAAAAAAAAAAAAAAAGAAAAGAAAAAAGAAAAAAAAGAAATAAAATGTCACCTGAGATAACAGTAGTAATATAATCAATATGATATAATGTTAAATTAGTGGCATAAACAGACAGGAAGTAAAATATGGGGATACATCCAGCACGGAGATTCAATACTAGGATCAGAGAAAAGATGCTAGATTTAAGTATATTTTACTTTGTCAAGAAGAAGAGGAACCTGGTAATAGAGGAGTTATTTTAATTTTGTGATCAGGAAGGGTTTACTTAATAGACCTCTACTGATAAGAACAAAAACATTCAGATGAATGAAAAATCTTCAAATAGTACCTTGCAATATCCTAAGTATTCTAGCAATCCTTATCACATATGAATTTTTTATCCTGTGGCTGAAAACAGGGAAGGTATTTGAGTCCCAATTTAAAAAATGATGGAACTGAGGTCTAGAGATTAGAGCTTACCTAAAGTTTCCTTGTTAGATACAATGGAGCTATTATTCAGACTCTAGTCCAGCGTTCATTCCAACAGCATGATTATGCTGCTACTTAAAATAATCTTCATGCTCTACACCAAACCCAGTGGCCACTATCTTGCTTGAATTAAAGAAGTGCAAGAGAACAAAATACACTTTTGCCTGGGTTTCACAAGTACAAGTTCAAAGTTATAAAGGAAAAGTGAAAATCATTTAAGTATGGAGGCACACATGATGAAATATAAAAGAAAAGTGGGAAGGAAAAGAAAGACAAGAATCAAAATTTTAAAAAATGATAAAACTCAAGGGGAGGGAAATAGAGGCAAAAATTAATAATAGTTCTAAAAACAGCAGAATCATGGAACTAAATTGAGATAGTTACATGAAACCATAAAATATTTGTCCCTAAGTTACAAGACCGGAAAAAATAAAAGAACAAGTGATAAAGAAGAAATTCAATGCAACTTAACAGTCTATTGTGTAAAATGTGTTTCAGATCTGGGCATCAATGATAGAGCAGAGTTAAACTGTGACAAAAGTACAAGAGGTAAGGATGGCCAATCTTAACCATCCTTTTTTCTTTTGAGATGGAGACTTGCTGTCACCCAGGCTGGAGTGCAGTGGCGTGATCTTGGCTCACTACAACCTCTGCCTCCCGGGTTCAAGTGATTCTCCCACCTCAGCCTCCCAAGCAGCTGGGATCACAGGTATGTGCTGCCACGCCTGGCTAATTTTTGTACTTTTAGTGGAGATGGGGTTTTGCCACGTTGGCCAGGCTGGTCTCTAACTCCTGACCTCAAGTGATCTGCCCACCTCAGCCTCTCAAAGTGCTAGAAATACAGGTGTGAGCCACCGTGCCCAGCCTATCTTAACAATTTAATAATGGTTTATTTTCTTCTCTCCTAAAGTACAAGTGATGAAGTCTCTTCTGGAAAAACGTTTTCTCTGATTTTTGAGTAAAGGTTCAAATTTTGGGGTGCTCCTACCCAAGACCTCATTTACCACAAACGAAATCTATTCAGGTAATTTTCTAGTTAGTCCTTTCTGTAAAAAACAAATCCCTGTTATCATCCAATGTTATCTTTTGGTTCATATTTATACCAAAGCATGAAATCTTTAAGAAGAAGAGGAGACATAGGGTAAGAAGTAAAACAAGAGAAAAGAAAATTACCTCTCCTAGTCCTTCTAGTGCTCTGAGTATGATGAGTGGTCCAACTCCTAAATCTGCAGCAATGGGAGTGAACAGGGTGAGGACAGCAGTGCCAAGGACCCCAAATCCTAGCAGCAGTTTCCCCCCTATTTTGCTGGCAACATATCCTCCAGGAATCTGTGTGATGATGTAGCCATAAAAAAAAGAACCGAGAATCCATCCTTGAGTTTCTGCATCCCATTGGTACTTCTTACCCTACAAAAGGCAGGAGAGAATAAAACAACACTTTAAGACCTTCACAGAACAGCTCTTTTCTCTTACTGCCATGTAAGTACATATAAATGAGATTTTGAAGTACTGTTTTGGACTGAAGAACGTGCAGACTTTCTAGTAACTGGGTGAGTCATAACAATACAGACACATAGCATTTAGAAGTGAATGGAATGGAACTGAAAGTCGTAAACTTCAAGAAGGCTTGCAATTTTATGAAACTAGACTGTAGGATGAGCTGCAGAAGCTTTGTAATAACTGAGAAAGAAGGCTCACAAAAGAATCACAAAAAAGGTTTAAGTGTCTCTGAGCCTACTATGGCTTGGGAGGCTGCCGTTCCCTGATACTCCAACCAAAAAAAGGAGTCATAGGCTTAATCTAGAAACCTCGTACAGTAAACAGAATTAAACTGTAGTGGTTGAGCTAGGCTTTGGGAACCAGGCCTGGTTATAATCCTAGCTCTGTTACTTAATGGATGTGTGATCTGGGAAGAGTAAATGAAACAGGCACATAAAATAAAGCTTGATGCACAGTGTTTACTTAATGCTGGTTATTGACATGCATAAATATGGATATTAATATCTCCCCATTTCAGACCAAGCACTTAAGCATATAGAACAATACCAAAAAGCAAGAATTTAAATCAACCAACAAACTTAATGTTAGTAGAACCTGTGTTTTCATAGCAGCAGCACATAGTAAGGTACTAATGAAAATTAATGACTGATCTGAATATCTGACATCTTCAATGCACATAGCTGTAAAATCAAGCCAATGTGTCAAGAACCATTCCTGGATTTCTTTCTACTGCTGACATAAGGCAGATGAAGATGAGTAGCAGGGTCAAGAAAAGCACTTTGCAAAGGAAAAGACACAAAGCAAACTCCTACTTTTCCTTATTTAGGGTACCAATGTGCAGTTTATCTGTGGAATTCTAGGATTTCATGTACGATCCGGCAGTATTGTCCCTGAAGGTCACAGGTTGGAGTGGAGAGAGTGAGTGATGTGTGCCCAAATGTTATTCAACAACATTATTGAGGTCAATATATAAAGATTTTTGGAGAGATTTATTTTGTTTAGAGAGAAAACCTCTTTCCTGCTTGAATACACTGCTTATAAATGACAGATGAGACACCCAAGTATGAACCTTCATGAGCAGTGAAACCCAAATACCTTCATGAGCACTGAAAATGGATGAAAGCTTACTTTTTTTTTTGGAGAAGGAGTTTCACTCTTATTGCCCAGGCTGGAGTGCAATGGCGTGATCTCGGCTCACTGAAACCTCCACCTCCTGGGTTCAAGAGATTCTCCTGCCTCAGCCTCCTGAGTAGCTGGGATTACAGGTGTGTGCTACCACACCCAGCTAATTTTTGTATTTTTAGTAGAGATGGGGTTTCGCCATGTTGGCCAGGCTGGTCTCGAACTTCTGACCTCAAGTGAACCACCAGCCTTAGCCTCCCACACTGCTGGGATTACAGACATGAGCCACTACACTCAGCCTGAAAATATACTTCTAAAAAGAGTACTAGCTTTTCTTTCTGTACTGTCTCATTGTGTGATAAGCAAAATAAAATAAAGTGTATATAAGTTATTATAAACAAATGATGAACACACATTTATCAATTCCACTATAACATAAGGCAGGCAAAATGACTTAAGTAGCTTAGGTTACGCATGTGTACATTCAGAAAAGAATATCCTAAGAAATTGGCCAGTTCTTATTTTTCATCTTGCAAATGAGATTACCTAAACTCTCTTGCAGCAGTAATCCTATAAGTGATAAAGGGTTATAAATGATACTCCTATAAAAGCTATTTAGAAAATTTAAAACAGTTTAATTTTTATTTTTATTTATTTATTTATTTATTTATTTATTTTTTTTTGAGACGGAGTTTCGCTCTTGTTACCCAGGCTGGAGTGCAATGGCGCGATCTCGGCTCACCGCAACCTCCGCCTCCTGGGTTCAGGCAATTCTCCTGCCTCAGCCTCCTGAGCAGCTGGGACTACAGGCACGCGCCACCATGCCCAGCTAATTTTTTTTTGTATTTTTAGTAGAGACGGGGTTTCACCATGTTGACCAGGATGGTCTCGATCTCTCGACCTCGTGATCCACCCGCCTCGGCTTCCCAAAGTGCTGGGACCACAGGCTTGAGCCACCGCGCCCGGCCAACAGTTTAATTTTTATTATGTAAAACAGGTTTTTCCAAATTTTCTTAAAGTCGGTATATTTACAGAAGGAATGGAAGACCTATTTTTCAAACAGATCAAGATGTATTATGGCATAGCAGTAGTAGCTATAGTTACAAGTTATTGCCCAATCAGTTCCTGGGAAACAGAAAAAGAAAGTGATTCAGAGTATACATAAACAGTGTTTGTGGTTTCTGTAGGATGAAAAAATACCTTTTAATATTTTTACTTGTAAGTTTTTTTTTTTTTTTTTAAATTAAGTTTGTTTCCTTAAAAAATAGCACCTACCGTTTGATTATGATGAACTTTTATGGGAGAAGAATGCTCTGGACATGCCTTGGAAGTTCTATTATCTTCTAAAGTTGTATTTGAATCTACCATATCCACTAATGCAACGCTTAGATTCACACGTAATGCATACACAATGAAGAAACCAAAAAAGGCCAAAATTGCTAAGTTGTAACGAGCAGAGCAGCACACTGGAGCTGAAATAAAGATTGAGGAAAATTTTTATTTATTTTTAAATTTTCATTTTTAGAGACAGCGTTTTGCCATGTCGCTCGGGCTGGTCTCGAACTCCTAGGCTCAAGCCATCCACCTACCTCAGCCTCCCAAAGTGCTGTGAGTATAGGCATCGGTCACCACACCTGGCCACTTCAATTAAAATAGGTAATTACATGATATTGTCTAAATAATGAAAAAGGTTGCTCTTTAAAAGTACAAAATTATATATAATAATTATGAAAGAAATTTAAAGAATATTCTCAGATTAAACAAATCTAAGAAACATTGATCAAAGATTAGCCATTCCTAGTATCTGCAGTTTTGGTAAAAATTTCACACATGAGAGCCTGAACTATAAGAAAGTTAATTAAAACATGGAGGTAGTAGTTTTATCACCTTTGCTGAGAAAAAGATCTATTCCAGATTCAAACTGAACCCCTATTCCCTGTCAGCTAGCACAGATATACAGCATGAGAAAAGTAGGTAAGGAGGTTTAATGGCATTACTATTCCTGAAAAACTATCTGAAACATGGTCAATAAGTACTTTACTACTTATAATGACATGCTATATTACTATGAGTTAGTAGCCATCTCATTGTAAGTGTAGCATAGCAAAAAAAATTTACTGCCAAAGGTAGGGTATGAAATTTCTCTTGATAAATTTCTTACCTCGAAGAGTATCCTCAAAGGCTGGGTTTGAGTCAGAAGCCATGATTAATACTTAAAGCCATCATAAACTAAATGCATTTAAGAATCTAGACACAAACTTGCAGAACCTATGACAGCTGCAGCATCTGTAACAGTTGCTCAGTAGTTATCATGCTTAAAGGGCTCACAGCCAAAAGGAAAATGAGTGAATGTACCATGATGATTTAAAGAAAAAGGAATGCAGAGTAGGTTGGAGGAACCAATAAAAGCATCATGTGGGAGGAGGAGTTTGACCTATTTTTTACTCTAACTGTGGGCTTATGCATAGTTTCTCTTTTTCTTTCTTTTACTGAGTTGCAAAATTGGAAAGGGAAGAGATTCAGGAAGCTAAGGATAATTAACCTCTTAGTAACACAGAAATTAGCAAATTCAGAGTCTGAACATCTTTAAGTTTAGTAAACTCTGGGTGGCTGATAAGCATCTCTTTAAAGATCTAAATATGTATTTCATTAAGCAATGGCATATTAAAATTAAAATTAACTATATATACAAATATGTGTGCTTTTATTTGGTAATGGCACATCAACATCATATATGTGTGCATGTTTTTCTCCTACTTAAGAATCTTGGTGTTTTCATTGACCTAGCATCAAAGGAGAGAATATATTTTACAGAATACAAAAGTCTTAATACTGACTCAGATGAACTGATTTGGACTGAAACATTAATGAATATGCACAACTATACTTAAGTTTATATTAATATATTATGATCCAACTCACTTTTCTGTATGCTCTTATATATTTTAACAACTGCTGTTAATTTTTTTCTCTAAGATTTACTTCTCTTAATAGAAAACTTTTTATTTGGCATTCTTAAATCCTTTCTTCAGGGGCACAGCTATGAAGTTCATGGTACCATTACCATACTTAGAACCAGATCTGTAAGAACTGAATTTCTAAAGTTCTATTCACATTGTCTCTATAACTAGAATCCAGGTGAATTTGCTTTTTGCTTCATCCAAATAGGCAGTTGTCCAATTAATGATAGTTTGGATACTGAGAGACATTTTTTGTAAAAAAAAAAACCCACATTTCCTTTTTTCTTCTTTTGTTTTTTAGAGACAGGGTCTTGCTCTGTTGCCCAAGCTGGAGTACAGTGGGTGATTATAACTTACTGTAACCTCAAACTGCTGGGCTCAAGTGATCCTCTCACCTCAGCCTCTTGAGTAGCTGGGACTAAAGGCATATGCCAGCATATCTGACTAATTTTTAAATTTTTTACTTGTGGAGTCAGGGTCTCACTATGTTGCCCAGGAGGTCTTAAACTTCTGACCTCAAGTAATCCTTCCATCTCAGTCTCCCCAAGCACTGGGATTATAGGTGTGAGGCACTGTGCCTGGCAGAACATTTTCTTTATCGTTGCTCAGTGTCAGGTGATATTACCTAAAAGTCTGGATGAAGGACTCATAATCTCGCTACATTTGTGCATTAAAATCTATTACTTTGAGCATTTTGGAGCAAGACAAATCTAGATTTAGGTACTATGTATGCTTTGTCATGCAGTATTTAAAAAGATCATTATTGGGCCGGGCGCGGTGGCTCACACCTGTAATCCCAGCACTTTGGGAGGCCGAGTTGGGCGGATCACGAGGTCAAGAGATCGAGACCATCCTGGCCAACATGGTGAAACCCCATCTCTACTAAAAA